TCTCCTTCTACAGGTCACCTTCAATTGCATCACTTCCCCCTTGAAATAGCATAATTTCCAGCACACTGAATAACAATAGAAAATGCATCTACATCCTGAAGAAACATTCTCCCTCGCCAATTCTCTCCTTCTGCTGTAACAGTCCATGGAAGAGGTTCCTTCCTTGCAAGATTGAGACACAAAAATTGCCCTTTTCAGAGCCTCTGGCCATTCAAATTGTTAACTTTCCCCATTTGGGGATGTGCCTCAATTGCACCCAATTGTTGCTACTAATATTGATTTTTGGGTGGGCTGACTTAAACTGCTCCAAATGAACAGCAAAATTTCCCAGTAAGGAAACACTCAGTTGAAGATGGATTATACTGATAGTATTGTATAATTCAAAAGACAAAATCTTTATTTGGTATATTTTGCAATGACTTCAAAGTTTAAAATCCCAAATGTTTTTCTTGACAATGAATAAACAAAAATGGTATTTTAAGAAAATGTAAATTCATTATTTCCTTTTTTTGCAGTTTAAAAGGGTATTGTAGTGTTTTTGAAGGAAAAATTTAAAGATGTATATAATTTATATACATTTATCTCTTATCTTCATTTAAGAGTAGATAAAATGAAAAAATTAAAAAGATTCAAATTAGAATGGACACATTAGAACATATTCTATTGTTGGGAAAACAGAAGGCGATTATCTCCCTTTGGTGGAAATACGTCACATTGGTCACATGACAGCCACTTGGTAATGTCAATCCATACAGTGATGAAAGCAGCAGTCAAATTTTGTTTGCTTACAGCAGTAAAACTGAGAAGTTGCTTTTTTTAGCCTGGATTCTCCATGGCCTGGGCAGAGGCTAAAACTAACTCTCCAGTAGCTTACAAGTCCATGTTGCCATTTCCTTTTTAGAAATATATCTTTCCCATATGTAGAAAGAAACTCTGCCTTGCAGTCTTCAATTTGGGAAAATCCAAGACTCACGTTTCCCTGGAATATGTCCTCACCTGGAACATAGTAGATGAATCTAGCCTGTTTGAATCTGGAGTCCCAAACATGGTTTCTCCAGACACAAAAGTATCTCCATATTATATGTAAGCCCCTTCCTTTTTGTTTCTCCTTACACTCTACTCACTGTGTAGATATATGTGATATATTATTCTCCACATGGGACATGTGTATATATGCATATAGTTTTTTTTTTTTTTTTAAGCAATTCACCACAAGCAAGGCAGGAGTGCCACCAGCATGCAAGGGATTACAGAGGATTGAGAACAAGATTAAAGAGGCATGTTTGAGGAAAGGATATAGAGAAGGACGGGGAACAAGATCAAGATATCATAAGATGTCGATTGATATTATGCTTGAATATTTCAAGATTATAGTTATCAGGAAAGCAAACAAGAGGAAGGGAGTTCCACAGATGGGAAGTGCAAGAGAAGAAGATGTTTGAGTAGAAGAGATGGTTACATTTAACCATTTTGACAATGAAAGAGTGGGACCAAGATGCCATCCTAGTAGTTCACTTAAATTCATGCAGTCTGGGAACCAGTGAAAGTAACTTGTCAGAAAATACTTGTAGAAGAGACAGTTGGCTGAAAGGAAAAAGAATGACAAACATCCTTTGTTCTCAGAGAGATTTTTTTTTTTTTATACTATTATGCCATTCAATTCTGTCCATGAAATACAGTGTTATTATATCATGTATATAATAACATTGTATTATAATGTCACTGGATCTAACCAACACCTTTATCCACTGTGCCATGTGTTCTTGATCCAGTGACAGGACCCAAAAGAGTGTGAGTTCAATACCCGGTTAAGGCAGTGGAGAACTTAACAGAAGATAACTGATAACTGACATCCATTAAAACATAGCACGTGGAACTAGAACAGTCTACCCCAGTGAGTGAAATAAAGGGTTCAGTTTGACATTCCAACCACCTGAAGAAGGCCGGAGCGTACAACAGCCGAAATGTTGTAATAAATATGGTGACAAAGATGAAGACAATAGTCTGAATAATGTAAATAGAGCCAATCATGTCTTTTAAAATTCATGCTTCTGACTATGTCCATACGTCTGAACTCCAAATGAACTGGTTGCTGGGTGCTATCCCAGTTAAGTTAGTTATGTGCCATGCATGATACATGCTTAGGTCATCTTTCGATACATGACTAACAAGGCAGATTTTTTCCCAACAGTAGGTTACCATTTCTTTCTGCGGTAAACCAGTTACCATCCAAGGCTATAGAACCCAGTCTGTCCTGCTATTTACCCATAGCTGGGGGGAGAAGAAGTGGATTCATACCTTTCCCAAGGGTATTAGCATGTAAGTAAATATAATGGATTTGACTGGAATTCAAACTCGGCTTCTCTGATTCCTCAATCCGAGCCACTATCCACCATGCTATCCCATGTAAACCAAAAAACATCAAACATTTGAACTTTAATTATGACCAGAATAAATACAATACTTACCATGTAAAAACAAAGGTTAATGTGTACATAAATATATGATTATTTCCATCAGGGTTTCCTTTTTACCTATGTGAAAAAAAAATCATTTCTTCACGTTACGTTGTAATTGTGGGCACAACACTCGGATCTTAATTTTTCATTTATAATCTTAATAGACTGACTTTACACTACATCTACATGCCAGGTATAAATAAAAAAAATAACATTTCAAGTAACCAGTACGAGTAACAATCCAAGTAAAAGTAATAAGAGGCATCATAAATAAATAAAGTCAAAAGTAATAAGAGGCATCATAAGGAAATAGAGTCAAAAGTAATGAGGCATCATAAAGAAATAGTCAAAAGTAATAAGAGGCATCATAAAGAAATAGTCAAAATTAATAAGAGGCATCATAAAGAAATAGAATCAAAAGTAATAAGAGGCATCATAAAGAAATAGAGTCAAAAGTATTAAGAGGCATCATAAAGAAATAGAATCAAAAGTAATAAGAGGCATCATAAAGAAATAGAGTCAAAGTAATAAGAGGCATCATAAAGAAATAGAATCAAAAAAAAGTAATAAGAGGCATCATAAAGAAATAGTCAAAAGTAATAAGAGGCATCATAAAGAAATAGAATCAAAAGTAATAAGAGGCATCATAAAGAAATAGAATCAAAAGTAATAAGAGGCATCATAAAGAAATAGAATCAAAAGTAATAAGAGGCATCATAAAGAAATAGTCAAAAGTAATAAGAGGCATCATAAAGAAATAGTCAAAAGTAATAAGAGGCATCATAAAGAAATAGTCAAAAGTAATAAGAATCATAAAGAAATAGAAACAAAAAGTAATAAGAGGCATCATAAAGAAATAGAATCAAAAGTAATAAGAGGCATAATAAAGAAATAGAATCAAAAGTAATAAGAGGCATCATAAAGAAATAGGGTCAAAAGTAATAAGAGGCATCATAAAGAAATAGAATCAAAAGTAATAAGAGGCATCATAAAGAAATAGAATCAAAAGTAATAAGAGGCATCATAAAGAAATAGAGTCAAAAAAAAAGAGGCATCATAAAGAAATAGAATCAAAAGTAATAAGAGGCATCATAAAGAAATAGAGTCAAAGTAATAAGAGGCATCATAAAGAAATAGAATCAAAAGTAATAAGAGGCATCATAAAGAAATAGAATCAAAAGTAATAAGAGGCATCATAAAGAAATAGAGTCAAAAGTAATAAGAGGCATTATAAAGAAAATATAAGAGGCATCATAAAGAAATAGAATCAAAAGTAATAAGAGGCATCATAAAGAAATAGAATCAAAAGTAATAAGAGGCATCATAAAGAAATAGAATCAAAAGTAATAAGAGGCATCATAAAGAAATAGAGTCAAAAGTAATAAGAGGCAATAAAGAAATAGAAGCAAAAGTAAAGGCATCATAAAAGAATAGAAACCAAAAGAGGCATCATAAAGAAATAGAATCAAAAATTAAGAGGCATCATAACGAAATAGAATAGAAAAAAGTAATAAGAGGCATCATAAAGAAATAGAGTCAAAAGTAATAAGAGGCATCATAAAGAAATAGAATCAAAAGTAATAAGAGGCATCATAAAGAAAAGAATCAAAAGTAATAAGAGGCATCATAAAGAAATAGTCCAAAAGTAAATAAGAATCATAAAGAAATAGAATCAAAAAAGTCAAAATAAGAGGCATCATAAAGAAATAGAGTCAAAAGTAATAAGAGGCATCATAAAGAAATAGAATCAAAAGTAATAAGAGGCATCATAAAGAAATAGAGTCAAAAGTAATAAGAGGCATCATAAAGAAATAGAATCAAAAGTAATAAGAGGCATCATAACAAAATAGAATCAAAAGTAATAAGAGGCATCATAAAGAAATAGAGTCAAAAGTAATAAGAGGCATCATAAAGAAATAGAATCAAAAGTAATAAGAGGCATCATAAAGAAATAGAATCAAAAGTAATAAGAGGCATCATAAAGAAATAGAATCAAAAGTAATAAGAGGCATCATAAAGAAATAGAGTCAAAAGTAATAAGAGGCATCATAAAGAAATAGTCAAAAGTAATAAGAGGCATCATAAAGAAATAGAATCAAAAGTAATAAGAGGCATCATAAAGAAATAGAGTCAAAAGTAATAAGAGGCATCATTAAGGAATTTTTCTGTGCTTATGAAAACTCTCTACATAGAAACTGAACTTCAAAAACTCAAAAACAATTTCTTGATTAAAGAAAAATTGTTTGCCCTTTAACTTCTTTCTTTTTTCTGTTTCTTTTTCTTTATGAATGTGTTGAATATTTTTAAAATTTTGACCCTCTCAACCTTCCCTCATAATGGACCCTTTTTTGAAAGCAATATAAACTTAATTTTTCAATATTTCTTTTTCACAAAATCCAATCTAGTCTTAAACATGTGTTGAATTTTTTAACATCTGTTGGATTACTTTTGATTCTATTCCTGTATTTAATTCCAGAAAAACTTGACTAATTTCCTTCATTGGAAATACTGCTATCTTTTGGGGGCAAGAGAACATTTTTAATGTTTCTTCATGATGGCTGCAAGTTTTGTGACAGGATTGAAGTAAGGTGGAATTCCTGGCCATCTGCTAGATCCATTTCAAATCAAACTTTTCCTCATCTGGAAATGGTTGAGTTGTTTTTGCAATCCATTTCTTCACCATTGAGCTCATAATTAAACTCCATAAAAAAGAATCAAATATTTGTGTATAACTCACATGGTATGTAAAGTCTGCATTGAAACAATCAAATAAAAATATTTTTAGTTCTAAAGAGTTTTACGGACATTCCTTTTTGAACGAAATATCCAGCTTCCCCCAAAAGTTACTTTTATTATGAGTCAATCTTTAATTGATATGAACATATATACTTCACAGTATTTTTGCATGAAAAATAAACACAAATTTAGTAATAACTGCAAACAGAAATGAATATGTAAACTTTTCGATGAAAAGAATGCAAAGAAAACTTTAATTCCAGTGTGTCTTTTATAAACCTTATATGATAAGCTTAAATTATACACTCACTTTACTATTTTAATGAATAAGTAGAAGTAATTTTAAAACTGCGCAAGAATATTGGTAGAAAATAAATTTATAAAAATTGACCCTGTTAAAATACATGTGTTAAAGGGAGATAATGGATGTTTTGCTCAGGAGTAACAATTTTTTGTTCCAATATATTTTTTCAATTTATTGAATAACATAAAACCGGTAAAAGCTCATTAATTACTTTTTTGAAAAAGTAATTAAAAAATAAGTCTTAATCCAGAATAGGATTTTCCGGATATAATCCATTTCAACTATCTGAAACACATCAGTACCGAAAAATAACACAATTTTTTTTTGATTTCTCTTCTTAGGTTTGTGATTCTTTGGTTTTTAAAGCTGTATTTTGAAATTCATTTACTTTATGATGAATTTCATTCTTCTTTTTGAGGTAAAAAATAAAAAAATACAAATTTTTTTTTAATCTAATTTTCATATTTAGTGTTATGTTTTTGTCAACAAGGAGCGGAAATGAATATTAACTAATAATTCAAATATTTAGTGAAAGTGTCACTCTGAGACAATTTCGATGTATTATACCCAATGATTCCCTTTCTCCATTTTGCTTTTCTTTTCATTTTTTGTTTTTCTTACATTCCTTTGCATTATTTCCTCCTTTTGTTTGTTTCCTTTCTTTTTTTTATTATTAATTAACAATCATGATGCAATAATAAATATTAGAATTATAATATTTTTCGCAAAGTTGATTAGATTGATGAGCTAGCTAGCTAGAGTTAAAAACAACAAAAAAAGTTCTTGCAACGTTTTAAATTCCATTCATAGATCTCTCTTGAAAAGAAATTCTCTTGTTTCTCAAATCTTGATTATGAACGTCTCAATGCTATATTGTAAATAAATGTAATAATATTACAATTATTTGATATTACAGTAATATCAAATAATGTAATGATAATAGCAGTATTAAAAAACAAAAGTAAATAATGATAGTCATAATGAAAATAACAGTAAAAACTAAAAAGTAAATGATATGCTTTTTAAAGACAAGGTAAAATAATGGGTAGATAAATTAATTAACGTTTTTATTAATTATAAATTTTCTTTTAAAATTTCTTATCATATTTTTCATCAAATCAGATAAAAAAAATGGAACAAGAATGCAACTTGAAGTATTCTACAATTAATTACCTAAGCCCATAAGAATATTTAAAAATGTCCACAGCAAAGATTTAGTAAAGTCGCCATAGCAACCAAGTAATCATTGCCAATGATTGCTATAGTGTTCCATTTATTACCATGACAACGTCAGCACCCTCCACTCCTTTTTTTTAAAAATCGTGTCTTGAAAACTACTTCCGGTTTTCTGTTTCTTACTTTTCTGACGTTCTTTTACTCAGGTAAGAAGTCTTTTTATCTTTAATTTTATTTATTTATTGGACAGAAATTAAGTTTAGTAATTTTTTTTTTTTTTTTAGATGTGAATTTATTTTAGTGCATAAAGTTTAATTAACATGAAAAGTAGCCGTATTTTTTGTTTTGAAGTACAATGATGATGATAACTTTCACATAAAAATAAACAAAAGCTTATGATAATTGCTTAGGAGAATGTAATTGCTCTAGTCTAAACTTTTAAAACTTTACTAATATCCTTGCAGAAAGTATTTTATTTTGGTTTAAAATTTCCTTAACGTATTTTCTCCAACTTTAAAGGTAAAAAAAATCATTTTGTTGATTTTTCGATTTCCTCAAGAAATCAAATAAAATGATTTTTTTACTTTATAAAAAGCAAACGATTTTTTTGTGATAATTTTCATACAGCTGGAAAAATAAGTTATGACCAAGAGATATTTTATGTTCACCAAACAAAACCGGTTTGTAATTTTTATTATTTATTTTAAAAATAAAAAAAAAAAAACCTTATCGGTTGTTCGTAAATTCTTCTTTATTCATTCATTGTCTTTACCTTAAAATTTAAATGCGATTCAAACTTAAAAATGATTATTCAAAAACAAAATCAAAATATTTGATTTTGACTCATGAAAAAAAATAATCATATTTTTCAAGAATAATTACTTCTACCGATTTTAATTTAAAAATCTCGTTCTCATAAAGTGAAAAAATAAAGAAAAGTCGTTGTTATTTTTTTAATCTTCACACGTTTTTACGTACAGTAACATAACAGAAATTAATGTTTTTTTTTTTTAACAAGATACTTATTTTTACTTTACTGCGAAAAAAAAAACACCTTATCACCTTGACAACTTTGTTCGACTGTGTTTTTAATTTTTATTTTATTTATTTAATCAGTATATTTTTTAAATTATTTCTAAAAAAACTAAAACTTGCTAACAGGAAAGCATTTTCTAATTTTAAAGTTAATCAATAGATTTAGATTTGGAAGCAATAACAAAAATCGAATAAGAAAAATAATTGATTTGAATCAAATAAAAAAAATCACTTTCAGGATTACTTATTTCCATAGCAACAGTTGTTATTTTTTTTTTTTTTATATTGGGTGTCGTAAGTAAATCTTTTTACTTTTGGAAACATATTATTTCGTCTGCAGAAAATTAAAAATATTTTATGTACGACCAGTATTAAAAAAAAATAACAAATGTTGCTATGGAAAGAAGTCATTAAAAATATAAAATAAAAAAATATTATGTTGATTTGTTCATCTTTTTGTGTACTGTGCCTCATGTTTAGTAAATTACTAAGAAAGTAAAAAAAACAACAAAATGTTGAATTTTCTTTCTCAGTTTTTAAGTTTCGACTTTTGACTTCTTAACCCACAGAAACCAAACAATAATTGTAGAGATTTTTGTAGCTGATTTAAGTAACTACAATACGACATTCTTCATTTTCACCTTAAATGCTATTAAAAGTGAAAATGGAAATAATAACGACAACATCACTTAAGATCTGATAAAATAAAAATACAGGATATTTTCTGTAATTTCTTGTAGAATCTAAAACTGCTTTCTGCAACTTAAAACATTTAATTTACATTTTTTAAGGACTTGTATTTCAGTTTCTTTAAAATAAATAAATTTATCAAAAATGTGATTTTTAAAAACAAACTTATGAATTATGATTCATTTTTTAAAGAATTTTTTTTTTTTTTTTAAGTAATTATTAATATTACTTATTTTTATTTTTCTTACCATACTCCCCAGTTTGAGAGATCTGTCCTGACAATATCACTTTTTTTTTCCGTTTATTTTTTGCGTTAACTCTGAAGCTTAAAGCGGGGTCAAGAAAATACTTTACAAAAAAGCCTTAAACTTATAGAAACTGAATGAAAAATGAATGTTCCTGTTTTAGACTTGGAAATTATTTTTTTAAAACATTTTCCCTTTCTTTCTTTTTTTTTTTTTTTTTTTGTTAGCTGATCTGCAACAATGGTAAAGATAACAGTGAAGAGAAACAATGACCTACAGTTTTTATATGAGACCACAGTTGATACATCAATTGACTTTTTACTGCAAGATATTACAACAATTTATAATGGCCGATTAAAAATTCAAAGAATTTGTGCAGGTTTGTACTTTAAAATTCCTACTTGTTAAAAAGGCTAAAGCGAAAGCCTTGTTTTTTTTGTTCCTATTCAGCAATTAATGAAAAAAAATTACTTGTAATTTTTAAGGTATTAAACAAAAAAAAACGACAATCAAGATATTGCGTTTTTATAGTTTTATATTATAAAAATGTATATTTTAGAAGTAAAATTGCAAAGTAATGTTCACTCTCTAGAATATTCTCGAAGCTTCTCGAAAAATCTTCCAGTGTAAGGGAAGTAAATCTGTATAGTTTCAGATTAGTCTATTCACTCACTTTCAAATACTTTTTCTTCAAAGAAGCATTCTAATATTTACATAATCCATGAGAATGATATATACTTTTTCTTTTTAGAATCTTAAAAGAAACTTTAGTACTTTTATTGAAGCTTGTTGCTTTACCTAAAAAGAATTTGTTATAAAAATTCATAAATTTCTTTAGTTGATTTAAATATATTCTCTTAGATGACTTAGGGAATGATTTCTTTTTATTAAGTAAACCTCTGTAATTAGAATAAAGATTTTCATTTTCTGATTTTTTTTCTTCCATAATGACTCACTTTTTATTTATATGTTATAACTTCTAAAAAAAAAACAATGATATAAAACAGCATTTATTGAGATATTAATAGCACTAATTGTGTTATCTGATTAAGTCATCTTTCATTCTTTTTTCTAGTTACACAGCAAGGTATCTGTATATTTGGTGCTAAATTTTACATAAATTTGGTGATTAAGTAAAATGGACGAATGTAGGAATTTGTGCTTTCAGGATATTATTATTGTTACAAATAAAAAAAAAAATAATGAAAATTATAAATATAATAATATTTAAACCCTGTTTAAAATAAATAAAAATAAAAACATTAAAATTACTCCCAGCATACAACAAAAATTGTTCCTGCCAGAAATACGGACATCCCACCAAAAGACGTGAGATTCAATCTCTTCGCCCAAGAACTGCCAGAATGACAACATGTGTGTAACTTCCCCTCTGTAATAGGCTTTATGATATTACAGAGTAACTTACTCCTTTTTATAACATGAACATTTACACAATTGTAATGCAAAATGCATACAAATACATAAATAAAATGGTATGAAATTCCCATACAATTTGTCATGCCTTCTCTGTATTGTGTACATTTATTTTTCCTGTTTTTATCTTCATAAAAACAAGCCTAAAATTTTACTACCACTACTCCTATGGTGGGAGTGACTACCCCACAGTTATAACAGTATGTAAAATTGGAAGAATTATGTCAAACACTTGAATTATTTTTTTTTTTCTGCCAATGATGTGAAAGATGTAAACTATAATCAGTATCATTGTCCATGGTTGGGGTTAAAAATTATGTAGTCCTTTGAAGTCTATCAGATAATAGATTGAGTGAGAAAACATTTGGCAAGCTATGTCAACTAACAGATTGGCACTTTTACCCTAGCTTAATGAAATTCATGAAGATTTTTTGTTCTATTCTCAGGATGGAAAGGATGGTGTCTGAGAAGTGAAATTTTGTGGGCCTAGTTAACATCTAACAGATAGTGGTGGTGGTGAGGAATGAAAAGATTCGGCAACAATTGCTCAGTGAAAGAAAACTAACATTAGATAATAAAGCCTTTGACGTATTTGCCAGGGAAGGAATCTGAGTATCCTATTCCTAGAGAAATGTGAATGTTATCAATGTGAAATTGCTAGCCATCTATCTTGCTGATAAATCCTTTAAAAGTTAAGGCATGATTTGGATGCAAACATATCTGATATACTTGTCAAAAAAGTGAAAACAAGATGGAAGTAAGAAATCTCTTAGAAAGGAGAAAGATAACAAAAATATGGTGGTGAATAACATTGATGGTCATTAGGATCAAAGCCTAATGATGTTAGTGTGTAACATTCATCCTACCTGTGCAGATGGAAATGTTTGGAAATAATTGGAGGATGATGACAGGAGTAGACACAGGTATCTTGTGTTCAGTGATAAATTTCACAAAATTTAAGGAATTAAGTGATTTGAAAGATTTGCAAGAAATGTTGACATGGTTGAAAATATATGTAGTGGAGTTGATGAAGTTGTGTGATATAGCTGACATTGAACTATTGTATCAGGAAAGTGAGTGTCATCTGCTATTGTTGGTTGTGGAGGGAGAGTTTCCCACATTGTGAGACAGAAATTGGTTACAGAAAGTGATGTTTGGTTGGAAAGCTATGTTTCCTTTGGGTGAAGAGGTGAAGAAGTTTATTGGATGTGTTTGATTCAGTGTTTAGCAATAGGTTTGGCTGTTTAAAACATATTAGGCTGAAATTGGCAATTAGTAAGGAAGCCACACAATGATTTTTAGAGAGTTCATCCAGTACATTATTCGCTAAAAAGACAAAACTCAGAAGGAATTTGATTCTGTAGAGAGATAAGCTATCATTTAATAAAGAAAAATTTTCTCATTGGGCTGCATCTCAAAGGCAATATTGGAGCAGGTTTGATTGTCTGAGGATTATAAACAAGCCATAAACATGTTTGTACCTTGTGATATATATCTAATACTGGAGACATATTTGTTACCTTAAAAGGAGGACTGACATTTAGTAAACTTGAATTGAATCATTTGTATCAGCAAGTTGAGTTAAACAAAGAATAACAAGCTGCTCACAATTAATACCCATTGCAATTTGGTGGGCAGAACATGAGAGGCATTTTTAACATGAAATGGATAAGTGATTGAATGACATTCTTTTCTCTAAAGTATGATTGGATGATATTTTGGTTGATGGTACAAGTTACATAATGAATGTTCAGAAAGCATTTTTCTGTATTAAACAAGTCAATAGTTAAATTAGCAAAGACCAGAGATACCTGATCTTGGCTTTAGAATCAGTGAGAAAATCATACTGACCCTGAAAGAAACTTGATGCTAAAAACATTACTGCATTAAGACTTTCTAGTAGCAGCTTTGAATTATAATCATCATTTACCCAATTTACCAACTGTTATTTAGCCACTGCATCATTTATTAAGAAGTTGAACACTTTTCTGTGGATGGGGCAAAAATCAGTTAAAGGCTTTTCAAGATACAAAAAAAATGTGCTGTGATACTGTTGTGAAGTCAGATGATCATCCTTCTCGGGTTTAAGGCTGAAGGTGTTTTAAGAGCTTCATCAGATTCATATATGAAAACTCTTGCTCAATGCTGTGTGGTGACTAGATATGGATGCTGATACTGAAAGGAAATGCAAGGCTTGTGAAGTATGCATTCAGGATCAGTGCAGTCTTAATATAACTCCAATCCATGTCAACCATGGGAAAGAGTACATTTATGGGACATATGTTCTTTATTGTTGTGGAGTGAAGTGTGTGTCATAAGTTGTGTGTTGCCCAGCTGCCTGTGATATTAATGACAGCAGTTCATTAGTGAAGAGTTTAAATTGTTTAGAAATTTCAATGAAATTCAGCATCTATTTATGGCTCCATATTGCTTATCTTGAATTGGCCAATTTGAATGCATTGGGGCAGTAAAAAAAGAACAAAAAATACATAAATTCACTTCCATCATGTGTTTAGGTTTTATTCCAATTCTGATCATCACTTTTTAAAACAATAGACATTGCACTGTCATGGGAAAACCATCTTTTTAAGATTGTATTTTTTGTGGGCACCAAAGTCCATGTTTGGCGAAATATCATTGTAGAATTAAGACTTCATTATTTTAGCCTCTTTATATTTTGTATGTGTTTGCATTACCATCAATGTTTGAAATTGAGAAAGCTTTTTTTTTTCTCTTTGCTAGTGAAGAGTTAGGCGATGTAGATTTTCTTTTCAATTCATATCAAATATAGAAAGATAAAATCAGTCATTTTTCTATTGAAAGACAAATACAGAATAAAAACAATTTAAGAATTTTTTTATATACATTTCTTGCATATATTTTTTATGTTTATTTAGAATTGGAGGACTTGGCAAAACATGGAATTACTTTACCACCCAACATGCAAGGCCTGACAGATGAGCAAATTGTTGAATTGAAGCTAAAGGATGAATGGGCTGAGAAATGTCGACCAAGTGGTGGCCATATTGAGAAAAAAGATGAAATTGGGCGGAGAAATGGAATGGGTAAGCTTTAATTTCTCATGTATTGAAATTAGAAACTAGAAAAAGATGGCATCCATTGATATTTGGACTTTAATTCAATATATCTGATCCAGTTATAAACTTCTTTTCATCAAAGACTTTCAAATATTTAATTTTTCCAAAAGTGACTTTTATTGCATTTATTGAAGGTTACAATTTAATTTCATTCTCTTTTCAGCAAAACAAGATCACACCTCTTATGCTATCTCAACATCCATCCTTGATCAATCAAAATAATTCCAGACAAAAAGGATTCTTGTCATTTAACATTTTCAAAAAAAAATCCCCATTTTTCCATAGGCAAAATTTGAAATTATCAGTCAAAACCCTTTTAATCCAGTAGAAAGAATTCTGTCTTCAATTTAAAGTAAAAAACAAATACCTCAAGACATTTAAAAGAACTTTTAAGTTTTCCTGCATAGCTTTTAGGCTTTTTTAATTTCTTTTTCTCCAGAAAAATATATATAAGCTCATAATCAATCGACCAATTTCCTTCTTCTAGGTGTTTGATTCTAAAACTAGATTTTAAACACACTTATTAAATGTATGTCTAAAACCATGTGTTCATTTGAAGATAATCCATCATGTATCATACTGGTTTCTGTTAGTCAAGCTCTTGCGTTTTATTACAGTCTCTATGTTCTGATTCTTGGTTTTACAAACATCTATCTTATTCAAATCCTAGCTTCAATTGATATAAAAAAAAAAATAAAATAAAAATGCCTTGTTATTTTTATTTTTTATTTTAAGTGCTGATTTCGATGTTTACACTGTTTATATTTACAAATACTCTATCTCTGATATTCACTCTTTTCCCATACATATAGCAGATTTTAAACAATATGATTTTTTATATATTTTGACTGAAGAATAGCAAAGATTATGGAGACATTCTAACTTAAGAACTTCCAACTAAGTTAAGAATTAGATGACTGATTTTAATTGAAAGTCAATCCAAGTAGTTATTATAAAATACAAGTTACCTTCTAGGCTTTTCACATTAAACGTGTAAAGTAAAACTGACCATTAATTATAGATTTTAGTTGTACAATCCACACATTATGGTGTTCTATGTTCTTGAAAAGACTGTTTTTATTGTTAAATAAAAAACATCAGTTACTATAAGAAATCTATTTCCATTTTTACTTTTTAAATATTTAACCATCATCCAATACTTGGTTACTGTTTAATTAGTTGTTTCTGTAATAACATCTAACAAATTGAAATAAGTGTATTGACAGTTACTCATCTCAAAAATGAACTACTAATTTATGGAAAGTGCTATGAACTCGCCATGATGACCAAATGTCAAAACCATCTGATAGTGAATATAAAAGCTCCAAAAATACACCACTAATGTCCTTCAGAATGGTGGCATAGTGGATATAGTAATTTGGTTATACATGAGTTAATGTTATCTCATGGCTGTGAGTTCAATCCTTGAATTTATATAGAGTGAAACAGTAGAAGTATATTGCTTAATTAGTTATTATAATTATATTAGTTATGTATTTATATTGTTGTTTATTTATTGAAAACTTAATTGCTCTTTGCATGCAATTGAATGAACTAAAGAAAAGATGATAACTTCAGTATTGCTGAACACATGATTAATCTTTATTACTTTTGTTGAAAAAAAAAAAATGTTTATTGCTGTCAAAATTGACTTCAGTTTTTTATTTTTTTTTTAACTCTGATAAATAATTTTTATCAATTCATTTTTAACAGCACCCAATCAACAAATGGCAGATGTATTGATGAAAAGTTCCAAAGAAGTCAAAGATATGATTTCCAAAGTAAGTATAATTGCAAATATATATTGCAATATACATACCATTGAAAAAAGGTGGGATTTCAACACAAACCTACCATTGTTGTCAGATATGCCTGTTGCATCAGAACATTAATGATGTGTATGTGTGTCATAATATGTAAACTGGTGGTAAATTGAATGGTTTTGCTGATTCTTACAGTTCTGGCTAGAATTGTGACATGCACTCTAAGGATTCAACATGATGATCAGATTTCTTACACCATTTCAAAGAGGAAAAGATTAAAATCCTCTCTATTTTGGTGAAGGGTAGATTCAGGCAACAAGCTTTATCTGTGTGTGTGTGTGTAAAGCACCAGGTTAAGAGTTATTGTTTTAGGAGTCATGTGATGCAGACAGAGGAAGTTCCTTTTTTAATCCACCCTCTGTATTAGGTTGAAAGCTTTTAGTTATTGGAATAAATGCAGCTTTCTTGGTCTCAATTTGTTTGTCTTGAGACACACTCACCCTTTTTAATTTACTTTCTCAAATGGATTTGATGGTTATGAAGCCTTCTATATAATAAATGTGAATTTTTCAACTTTACTCCTAGAGGCTGTAGCCTAACATATACAATTTTGGAATCGGGGCAGATTCTGTGAACAAATTGAAAACATTCCGGGCTGGATCTGGACCTGCAATCTTGAAATTTTTGATTCCAGTTATCCAGTGATTGTTTTCAGCATTTCTTTTTCTTTTTTTTTATGATAACAATTTTTATAACTTGGAAATAAATTTGGGAATAATCGAAATTAATTGCTAAATCCAGCAAACGGCTACCATGAAATAAAAATAATTGTTTGTATGGAAGGTGAGGGCCTACGTACATCAAATTGTCTTTAAATTAAGTGGCCACAGAAGAATTATCGTTGGACTTTTAAAAGGCAAGCTTAAATATTAATGCAATACTTAAATGCTGCGATCAAATTTAAGTTCTTCTGTAGTTTATTGTTGTCTATTGCATCTACCTATTGTGATGAATGCCCAATTGAGAGCCCTCTGCAGGAGCTAGTTTAAATAATGCCCAATAGGTCGGCTTTTAAGCTAGTCCTTCTTATATATCTACACACTCACCTTGTACAATTCTGTTATGTGCCAGTTGTTTACAAGGTATCATGTTTGTAACTTAACTTTTTTTTTATAAAGCTATTGGTAATTGAAAATTTATTCACAAAGTTACATTTTTTCCTCTCATTTAGAGAACCAATCCTTTAATTACTAAGCTAGAGGAAATTTATTGAATTAAATCTTCTTTAAATCAGGCAAAAGCATATCTTTGTGATGTTTTGGAAAAAAAGAAGCTCTCTTCAATCTTACTGAAATATTGTCAGCTTTTGTGAATGGAGTTGTAATATAAATAAGGAAATAAAATACTAATTTTTATTTATAATTATTTTCAAAATGTGCACATGTATACTTGTATCTCTTTTAAGATGAACTGTAAATATGAAATGAAATGGTTAATTAATCACATACAAAAAAATGTTTCCAAAAATTTAGCAATTTTATTATAGTGTGTTAAAAAAAAAAAATATATATATATATATATATATAATTCTATATTCATGCTTGTAAAAGAATTTTCAATCCACCAAAAGCAATTTTTAGAAAACTCTTTGTACTAAATTTAAAATTATACTGATCTCAATAAACTGACTTTTTTGAAGAGGAGAGATTGAAGAATACAAGGAATTATTTCAAATTGATTTTTGTTCAAGATGAATTTGTCTTTTCACCTTTTATTATTGTTTGGGATAGGAAACTTTGACATCAGTATTTAAAGGAAAGGCAATGTATGTATTTAGAATGAAAATTTGTACAAATATTTGTCTTTTTTACAAATAAAAACTAAAGGATTTTTGTTCACATGTACCTTTTAAGTAAACTGTTGTAATGTGACTGACAAATAAGCAAATTAGATAAACAGAAAGAAGAGATTAATGCTTCTATTCAGAATTATTTTGCTCTTAGTTCATAACATTAAAACCTCTTCAGTAATAGCAATGTCAGCCTGAGTAACACTTTAAGCAAGCATTTTTTATTGCCAGCATTGTAATTTCATCCTTATAACCAGCCATTCAATTAAAAAGCATATTTTGTCTAGAACTAGTGGTTCAATTTAAAGAAAACTACTTGAGAAAATATCTGTTTATATTTATTAATTGAAGATAGCCCTGAAATACTTATGTAATATGCCTGATTTTCTCCATTTTGAGGACATTTTTATAATAAAAAATATATTTTTTTCTTTTTAATTAGATATCCTTTAAAAAAATAATTTTTTATATGAAGTGTTCCAATATCATATAATAGCATGAATACACTAAAAAAAAATGGCATCTTATTTAGACAAACCATCATTATTTTATGATCCATTCGACATACAAAAAATATTAACTTCTGTGGTCATCATCTTATATCATAAAATGTCACATGGCTTTAGCTGTTGGTTCTGTAATTGTATGGTCAAATGAATCAAGCTTGTAGAGTAAATAGCCATGGTTAAATGTAATTGGTAAAAAATACCCAACAAATGGAATGGACAAAGTTTTCAATAAACAATAAGAAAAGGGAAAAAAAAGAACAGGTCAAAATTAATACTAATCAAACTATTTATGCAAATCAAAAGTAGGTAAATCAAGAGGAATAAGTCAAAATGATTACAAAGTGTTATCATGTAAAAGAGATACAGTCAAGTGATTGTATGATTCTAACTTCAAGACACGAAAGTACAAAAAGATGGCTGATGAGACTGAGAAGGGGGTCCATTTTATTAGTTAGGAAGATTTGTCTATAAATTTGCAGAGGGGAGTGTTTTTGCACTCATTCCTATCAAGATTGTAAGCAACTCCCCCCGCTTCAATCAAATGGATAAGTGCACTCATTTCCTACTCCTTTTCCACTCCTCTATGGAGCCAATAAATATAAACAAAATACATATAAATATTTACAATTGTTTTTACTTTTCATCTTTTTTGTTTTTTATATCTCAAAACATTTATCTTTTTTTTTTTTTTTTTTACATTTTTGATTTTTTTTTCAATATTTTCAATTTAAATTTATTCTTTTAATTTTTTTAATATATTTTTTTAAATTACAATTTTCTTTTCTTTTTTTTTTTTTTTTTAATCACAAAAGGGTAAGGAAAAAAACTGGGAGAACAGGAAAAGAAGTGATTCTCAACCTGGATCTATATGGACCCTGGGGGTCCATTTAACATTACTGGAGGTTCATACAAAAAAATAGCAAATTGGAGGTCCACAGCGATATTTTAGTGGAAAGTTATATAAAGATTATAATTTATTATACAAATTAATTTGATATATTAATAAATAATAATATTAATAAAATAAAATAATATAAAATTATTTAAAAAAAATAAAATATTAATAATAAAATTAATTTAATATATAAATTATATAAAGATTATATATGAAGGCAGGATTAACAGTATTAACCTCTTCAGCAGCATCAACCACACAGATCTCATTGAATAAATCTTCACTATGCTGGTAGCCTTTGTAAATAAATCAGTGATATTTTGGTCCTACGAAATATAGACCAACTTTATTGTGCCATTTAGAATTTCAGTCCTTATAAATTGATATTTTATGTCAATATGTTTTGAACATAGTAGACAGACAGAGTTCTTAGCAAGAGCTATAGTACCTTGATTGTCACAATAGATAGTGATTTGCTCATTTTCATTTATAGATTTACAATAGATAGTGATTTGCTCATTTTCATTTGATTTCAGTGTGGTGTTTAATAATTGAATCAGGAATTTTGCTTAATGTATTCCATTTTGCATGTTGACAATGCTTTGTAGATTGCTTTCTTGTTTTCAAGAAATCATAGAACTATTTGATGGTAATTGGAAATCATACCCAGTGATGCTACGAAGATCTTTTGAATTTCGCTAATCAGCCTCGCAAAAGCCTAAGGGCTTACTAGATTTATTAAACACTAGACAGTGTGTTCTTGTGTCTTTTAAATAGTGTAAGACTCGTTTGGCTCTTATCAAGTGGTCCATGCTTGGGTTTGCTGTATACTGCAACAATTTTGTTACCATATAACATAACATCTGGACAAGTTGCGGTCATAATAGCTACCAACTATTTCTCTGTAATATTTCCCATCTGCTGGTTCAGCATGGCTTTTGTCCAGTATAGTGATATCCATTTCACAAAGCATTGATTAAGGTTTACAATCTTACATTCCAAGTTTGGTTAGAATCTTTTCTATATATTTTGTTTGATTCATTTCTATAGACTTTTTTTAAAAGTAAATTGTATACCTAGAAAGAAAGCTGTCCAAGATCAGTCATTTTGAATTGTTTATTTAAATCTGTTTAACACAGAATTACAATTTACAGTAATGAGCATATCATCAACCCAAACAAGCATAATCATTATTTTATTTGATATGTTTTTTGTGTAAATTCAAAAGTCTACCAAGGAGTGGAAGAAATCTTCACTAGTTAAACGTGTATAATACATTGTTCCAATTTTACCCACGTTATGTCCATATAATAACTTTTTTAATTGCTATACAAGTTTGTCATTGTTTTTGCTGGTTGTTGGACATATACTTTGTAATTGGTGCATTTAAGTATTTTTACATCCATGTGGTGAACAGGTAAATTGTGTTGAATAGGTAATTGCATTAAAGTCCTTACAGGCAATAAATGTGTTGTAGTGGAGAAAGTTTGATTATAATCTATTCTGGCTTTTTGTGAATAAACTTTTGCAACAAACCAAGCCTTGTGCTATTAGTCACCATTTATATTAGTTTCAATAGTGTAGACCCACTGACTTCCAATGAGAGTTTTACCAGTTAGGAGTGTAGTTAATTCATATGTTTTGTTCATTTTTAGAGCGTTTCCCATAGCCTTATGCTACTGTATAAAGTAATTTGAAGTGATAGCGTAAATGTAAGTATTGGGTATATATTTTACAGAACCACAATAGTCTATAGTGGGATTTATGTCACATTTTTGTTGAGGTATAAAATATATATTGAGTTTTTTACCAGAAAATAATATATTCTTCATTAATTTTAATGATTTAAAATGAGTTTGTTATAAGAATAAATCAAATACTTAACAACAAATATATATTATTTTGTATATTTGGAAGATGCTTGAGATTTAAGACAAAAATACAGTGAAGTGTGATGGTATCATGAAAATTGACATTTTATTTTCATAAATAAAAAAAACTCTGCTCATGAACAATTCAGTAAGGTAATTGTTTTTAGAAAATATCTTGAATATTAACTATTAATTTTAACCAAACTGTCTGGAAATTATATGAACTAAGTGAAATTTGTTTGGAGAATTTATTAAGCATACTTGGCATTTACATTTAATTATATAATGTATTTCATGTTGTATGATGTTCCCTTTTTTTTCTTCAGATTTTGAGAGTGAAATGATAGTCATAAAATTTCACTATTTCAAGAATCTGTTAATTGTCAATGAGCTTTACAATAGCAGGTCACTATGGTATATTTTTTCTTTGTGATTTAAATTTCATAATCTTTTTATCATTTTCATGAATTTTAGCTTTAAATATGATGTGAATTATACTGTATTAAATAAAGTCTCTTTTAATTCAAAAATATTGAAACAAAAACACAATGATTTAAGTTATTTCAATTATTATTTATATTTTTTCTGTTTTAAAATTATAAATAGCAAAATAATTTCTGTTAGCCTGAAATAAATTTTTATACAAAATTAAGTTGCCCCTATAATGTAAATAGCATAATTTTTATTTAAATACACATAATTTTTCTGTAAAAAAAAATTAAAACCTGCTTGTAAAAAGAAACTATATATTTTTTTTTTTTTTTTAAATACATAATATCTTTAAGAGATGAATATTAAATACTGTACAAAAGAAATAACAGTAGCATACATCCTTTCTCAGGAGTGATGTTTACGACTTTTGACTAGCAGAAGGGTCACTGTAGACTAATGATTAGTTTGTCAAAGATGTTGATGAAGTTACATTGATTTTTCTAGAAAAAGATTGATACTGATATTTGTGTCAATCAAAAAACTGTGAAAGATGCTTTGGACATTCTTCGTGGAGCTGTAATGATTGTCTACCCCATGGGACTGCCTCCTCATGAACCAGTGAAAATGGAGCTGGAAAATAAAGAAGATCTATCAGGAACTCAGGTGACCACTTTATTATTCAATGTTATTTTGTAAAGATCAGGGTGTTTCTTTTTCATCTAGAATTTAATATATATTTTTATTACTGTGGAATTATATGGTTTATTACAGAAGAGGATTAGTCACTAAAGTACATCATAAATTTTTTTATATATATATATATATATATATATATATATATATATAAATTTAGTTTCATTAAAGGCAACTAACAAGCTACTTCGATTAAACTTTTTATTTAATTTTTCTTGTGTTCTGGACATAAAAATTGTTCAAATGTTACGTGTACCGTAGTGCATTGACCTATTCTTTTAGCCATTATCAAGGATGATTTTTATTTTTAATTGAATATATGGATTGCTTTATAAAGGAATTTTTATAAAGCATTTTACTATAAGCAAGATGAATTTTCTCTTAGAAACTTTATAAAGAAATATACAACTCCAATCAACAGGAACAAGAAAATTAAATTATCTACTATAAAAAATTTAAAACAGCTAACCTTATTGTCAACAACAATAACAACACATCTGCAAGATCTAAATTACAGAGAACCAATATTATTTATGAATTCACATGTTCCTTAAGGAAATGCTTTCATAATCAAACCAAATTCATGAATAATTATATTCTACATACCACTACATGTCTATCAAGAAGACTCACATTACACCTCTCTGACCATAGCTGAATTGAGATTCATTTAAACACAAACTCCATCCACAACATACTTGTAGAAAATACAAGTTTAATAGCCTCATGTAAAAAAACATGTAAAAAAAAAAAAATCTATCTATCTATCTATCTGTTTCATTAAATAATATAGACAAGTGTCATCTATTTATTTTATGTCTTGTCTGTATATTGCTTAATATATTGTACAGTAATTGACATCTTTGATAATGGCTTATGTAAGCTGAAAGCTTAGATTGGATTAAAAAATATGGATCAATATTGTGATTTTCTTTCTTCGTTTAATGATAATGTTATTAAGCTTATCAGATGTTATGAAAAGAATTTACATAAAATAAATAGACAACATTTGTCTATATTATTTAATGAAACATGTATGAATGAAAAAATGCTGCCTAAATACACACATATATATAAGGAATTAATAGATTTTATTTATAATCTGACATTATTTCTTTTTATTATAAATAACATACTCACATTTTATTTTTTTGTTAAACAGTGTAATTGACTTCTACCAGGCCTGGGCATTTGAGAGTCTTAATCAAGTAATGGAACCTTTTGACAGGATTTGAATCTATGTCCCCCTTATATTGAGAAAACCACTTTTTAGCTCAATGTGTTTTAGGCCACTCAGCATAGCATAGCAAGGTTCAATTACTCTTTTTAAGAAATGTACATCTCTCTTTGTTTATATTTATGGCTGAGTGGTCTAAAGCACATTGAGCTTAAAAGTAGTTTTCTCCACTGTAAGTAGGATTCAGGTTTGAACTCTGCTGAAAGGCACAATATCTTTATCTTGTATACCCAGATCTGTAAACATCAGTTACTGTTTTTAAAAGAAAAAAAAAAAAACAAACAAAAAAAAAAAAAAAACAAGGATATCTACTCAAGCAAATGTATCCCCTAAACTGTATGTATGTATGTGTGTGTATATATGTATATATATATATATATATATATATATATATATATATATAATTACTTAAACATTATTTTTAGTGGAGACTCATATTTGAGTAGATGCTTCATTTATTTATTAAACAGTATATTTATTTATTTTTGTCTAGCAGCCTGAATATTTAGTGGAAAAACTTATTTGCGTTAGCCCTACTCAGAACTGAGGATACATCTGGGCTATAAGACCAAGCACACTTTTAAAATCTTGATTATTTTACCTTCTACCATTCAAAATTGCAATTAATAAATACTTGTTTTTAAGAAGAATCTTAATCTTTATTATTCTGTAGGTGATTTCATTTGCTGAGCAAAAAGTTTGTCCCACTATTAGAGTTGACTCCATTTGTTAAACAAAAGTGTGTTTGTATTTGTGTTAACTATGCTGTTAGGGCAACAAAATGACTTTGAAATTAAGAACATTTGATTTTATTTCTTTTTTTTTGTTTTGGTAAGGCTTCCTTAGAAGTGATTCCTATTGAGAGTGCTGCCCTCTGGTGGGCAGGAAAGCAGTTGTTGCATGGTAAAAAGCTGAGTGATTTTGTTGGCAAGAATGAGAAAACAAAAATTGTTGCTAAACTTCAGAAGGTAATTTTGTTGTTCAGAGAAAGAAATTTTTGAAATTCATTTTTGAAATTCTTTGTACAGATTACATTTTTGCATTTTGAATTAAATCTACAATTTCTTTTTTAAAAAGGTTATTCAATTATCATATTTAGCAAATTTAAATTTTTCAAATAAAAAAAAAAAAACAGTAAATTTTCATCATCCAAAGAAGTAAATGGTTTTAATAAATAAAATAAATATTCTTTTAATACGTTTTAAAAAGAAATGATAACCTGGGTGATTTTAATTTAGTTAAATTATCTCTCTCTAATATCAAAGGAGTATTAAGCAAATTCAAATATCAAATCTCTTTTTTTTTTTTGTATTGTGTCTCAAGTTTTTTGTTGTCTTCATTCCAGCATAAAATTGCATTTCTGCAAAATTATTTATTAGACTTTCAGTAAATATTTTAAAATAAAAAGTATTTTGATGTTATTGTAGGTAACATTATTCCTTTTCCACTTAGGATTTGACTTTTTACTTCAGTCAGTCAACATGAATGTAGCTTATTTGTATTTTATGAAAACGTTAAGATATTTTTGGAACATAAACACATTAAATAGTTGGATTTATAAATAAATTTAAACATGAAATGCAAAATTGGTTATAAAAGCTATACTGGTTATAATTTTGTATTGATCAGTTATTGTAGTTTTTGAATAGTCACTAAAATCAGGTTTACTTAATAGAGTTTGAATAAAATCTTTGCAAAGCATAACATTTTGTTAGTCTATAAACCAATTGCCCTGAAGAGAATCCTTGAAAAATATGTGAAGCACTTTCAAAATAATTTATTAACCACATGGTATAAATTATGTACAAAAGTTTTGAGTAATATAGAACAATAGTTATGTATGTGTCTAGTGAAATTTTTGTATATGCGTGCATGTTACTTTGCATTTCAAACTTTGAGATTTTCTTTTCAGAAGTTGTTCTTTATTTTTCTATAGCTTGGTCAGGGTGCCCCTAGTCGAGAACCTATTATCAGTGAAGATGAACAGAAACAAATGATGGCTTACTATTACAGGAAACAAGAAGAGTCCAAGGTAAGATGGGCAAAGGGTGATGATAATGTCTAAGATTTGGGCTTGTGGATTCAGAGATAAGTATGAAGAATGTAAGTGGTAATATAAATTGGTAATACCAAAATATAACAATTAAAAACAGCTAAACTGTTTTTTCCGTTCTCTTTCATCAGAGCAAAAATTGAAGACAAAAAATGTGCACAGTGACAAAAAAAAATATATAAAACCCCATACTAATGTTATATGCAAAAAAAAAAAACTTTATAACTTTAAGTCTAATTACCTATATAAGCCTATTAATCAGGGAGATAGCTGGTAGGACTTAATGTACATGATTTCCAAAACCGGCAAGTGATAATCAGTATTAGCCCTTCTCAGCATTGAGAACATCTCTGGGCTATAAGACAACCAAGCATACTGCTGGTTTTTAATCATATATTCAGCTATTGCTGAACGTGATACATATGTAAATTGTCCACCTTTCCCTTGCGAATATTGGCTGGTATGTGTTCATTGATCTGTGCCTCCAACCTTTGACCCATAGTCAGCATTGCACTGACATCTGAATTCATAAATTACAGAACTAATATGATGGGTAAGCAGGACATCCTTCTGGATTGGTCTCAACATAGGTTGGGTACCAAAAACAATATTGCTTATAGTTACAATATGTTGAAACACCAGTTCTTGTATGATCACTGAAGTTAAGCAACATCGAGCCTGGTCAATACCTAGATGGGTGACTGCTCGGTAATACAGGTGCTGTAAGTGTGAATGTGCAGGTTTTGTAATGGATAATGGCTTGGCATGGTTAATTGGAGAGCTGATTTCCAATTCCAACAGGAATTGGAACTCAGCTCTATGATTAACTGCAAATTCCCTAGGACAATTCTGAGGACCAATCAGCCTAGGCACTTATGAAATTGTTGCATTTTTTCTCTAATGCAGGACTCTACAACATCCAAAAATTAACCATTTTTGCTCAGAACCTTCCTAATAAATTCAATTTCTCAACATATGACCAAGGCCTGATGAACAAAGTTATTTAGAACAGAAGAAATCCCACTGAGTATACAAACCGGTAAAAGTTGGTACGAGTAGCGAGCAAAGAGTGTGACAGCCCTGGAGAATGGAATAAAAATTTAGTTTATATTTAATTTGAATTAAGTGCTTATTTCATGTTTCACCTGCTTTTACATATTTAAAATGTCTTCCTTTTCTCACATTTCTCATTACTAGGCCATATAGGGTGCCCCTCCACCCCCCTCCCAAATACTTGAGTTTTAGGGCATACAATGAAGGAGTTAACCCTGGGCATCACCAAACCTCTGCATGTCACTGGTTGGTTCACTAATGTTAGAAAACCTGTATTTGATTTGTGTACTAAGACATTGAGAAAACGAAGAACCTCATTGATTTCCTTCTTCCATATAAAATCCAAAACCAGATGCAATGTATTCAGTTCTTGTTGGAAAACTTCATCCTCATTTTCAAACACAAAAGGCGCCATCCACATATCTAACATAATACCTGGGTCTTTCAATACAAGCAAAAAACTCTTGCTTGAAAAATCCAACAAATATATTGGCCATTGTCGGCCCTAAAGGACTACTCATTGATATTTGCTTATACATGACTTTATTAAAGCTAAATTCCACACACATAGTAGTGAACATCAACTGCATAAAGTTGTCTTCAGGATTACATGGTGGGAGGATATTTTTCAAATAATTTCATGATTATTTTGTTCAGTGTTTTCGAAACTTGTATAAAAATTCCAAGCAGCCTGTTTATTTAAACAGGCATGCTTATTTTTTAAGTTTGAAAAAAAATTCTACTGTCATAACTATTCCAGATGGTACAAGTATTTGACCTTTATTAAATATACACATGAAAACAAATAAAAATAATTGTAAAATGTGGAATTCATTTTTTCGTTTTATAAATTCATTTTCTGTTTGAAATTTCTTTGTAGAAATTGTCATCTGATACAGATGACTCTTATTTAGATGCCAAATGGGCCGATAATCATACACTGAAAAAACAATTCCAGGGTCTTACTGAGATCAAATGGGGGCCACGGTGATGAAGATTTGTAAGTAAATATCTCCATACTTATATTCTTTCTTTTTCTCCTTACACCTCTCCAGCAAAAAAAAGTAAATGGTAGTTCAGTTTTTTTTTTTTTTTTTCACATGTCATGCATGATGAATGAAACAATTCTATTATCTTTACCTGCTTGACAAGAAAATGTACAAATTGATTGGATAAAAAGAATCGTTTTAAATATTCATTTACTTGTTTTATTGAACTTACATTTTGAAATTCACAAGGCAGATATTAATGATATCGAGTTCAATACTGCAGGCATATGATATTGCATAAAGATTATCTCATGTTACTATCTGCCAAGTGATAAAATTTTTTCTCTTGAATTGAAAAAGTCTTTTTGACGTATCATGAAATGGACTTAAATATCTGAAAGTAAATATATTGCAAGTTCCTTCATTAAATACAGAGAAGTAAAACAAAAATAACTTTAAAATTTGGGATTTATTCATTCACATTATATATATATATATATATATATATATATATATATATATATATATAAAATCTTTATTTACATTTTATGAACAAGTTATAACAAATTTGTACACACTATTAAACAAACAAATCTTTAATATTTTTTTATAGCCCAGGGCTGCCAGGATTTATTTAAACAAAACAATCCTGGATAAAAAATCCAAATAAAGTCATGAATTGCTCCTTGTTTCTAAATGTTAACAGTATTATACAAATGGCTTGTGGCAATAAAGTCTGCCTTTGGAAGTAGTGTCATTTATTTGTCTGTAATGAGTTAATAAAGCCACCATATTAACTTTGTATAAACTGATTGGCCATATTGAAATGTTGAGTTGATATTTTATAAATCCTGGTATGACAAGTATTGGCTCTTAATTAATAAACTGTCTTACTTTCATAGAAAGCCTCTTGCTTAAAAATATAAGAATCTACTGTTTTAATCATTAAGCCTAAACAAAGAGAAACATTGAATTTATTGATGATTATAATTAATGTTTACAGTTATAAAACTTTATTGCACTTCCTAAGCACTCGTTTCCTGCAAAATTACATCAATCTTGATTTTGAGTTGTGTCCATCATTTCCTGGTAACCAGGGAATTCTTCTTGAATTTGGTTGTATTTCTCTTCCCTTTATGTTTTTGTCTTTCTCCTAAAATATTTAAATGTTTCTCACTGGCTAATAATGTGTGTGGTTGCTTCTTTGGCAGTAATAGATTGTCTTTGAATTGTCAGTAGACATTTTGGCACTTGTTTTACTGCAGAAATATTTAGGAACAATTTTTTTTTTTTAATTAATTTTCGTTTTTCTTTTTTATTTTGGAAAGAAGCCATCTTATTTGTGGTCCCAAAACCATGGCTAAATAATAGATTGTCACAATAAATTGTTAAAAATTGAAATTTTTTTTCATTAAAAAAAAATCCAGGTATTTTTATATTCTGAGCACATTTTTAGTTAATATATACAAAATTTCATTGATCTGCATTTTTTTTTTTTTTTTTTTTTAAATGCATAAATGAGATAGCAGCTCACTGCCCTATTTTGCATGATTTTTGTTAACAAAGATGAATATTGGAAAAATATCCATTTAAAATTGATTCTACTGTAATAAACATTCTTAAAAAACATTGTATGTTCCTTTTGTTTTTATGATTTAGTTACTTGAAATTTTTACTCATTTACTTTTTCACATTACAATAAAAATACTTTGGTTAACTCAGATTCTCATTAATTAAAAAATAAGGTTGATGTGTGCAGTAAAAAAACAAAAAAACTTAGCAATTTTGTAAATCATTAAGAAAACAATTGGAATCTAATAATTGCCATCTTATTTTAAGTAAACTTAATTATTTGAAAACTGTCAGAACCTACCAGTTGAAATATTTTTCTAATTTATTAATACTTTTATTACAAAAATGAATAAAAAAACTATTCTTTTTATCTGTAAGTATTGTTTTTGTTGCATTTCATTCATTGTTTCCTAATTAATAAAAAATAAGCAGAACAAATGAAAGTTCAAATAATGATTTTTGTTGTCAGTGACGGGCTAAAATCTTGTCAACAGCATTTCATCCCATGTCATAAAATACCTGATTTCTAACAGCAACATAAAACTGTTGCAAGATTAATTCATAATTTCTTGAAGATAAAATGGAGTTACAAGTTAAACTCTGAGCATCATCACAGTAAAGACATTTTACCTCTTTATACTCATTGTATAAAGTGGTTGTATTTTTCAACAATTTGTTGGCAATCATTATGTCCTGTTTGAATTATCTCAATTTTAAATACATTTTATATAAGAACATTTTTCACTGGGTTCAAACTTTTTTTTTTTTTTTTTTTTTAAATCTTTGTGCATTGTATTCTCTAATCAGGATCTTTTCATAGGAATTAATGACAGAAAAAAAGTCTGATTTTGATCAGAGCCTCCTACATGTGCACATGTATCTCTGTTACCTGATGATGATTGGAGAATGTAATTAACACACAGAAATGCTTAACTACTTCAGACATTCCAAGAATTATTTTTGCTTTTTTACTTACACTAACTTCTGCTTTTATCAGATTTTTTCTTCAAGTTTTTTTGAATATCCATTTACACTGTCTTACTGCCCTCTTTCATATTGAAGCCGAAAGGGGAAGAAAAGATTTCTATCAATTTCCAGAAGCATTTTTAATGCTATGTTATTTTGTTTAACATACTATTTTTTTTTTTTTTACTTTTATAAAAGCATCATGATTACAAGTTCTCTTCTCTGTTTAATATAGACCAGAATAGATTTTAAAGTTCTCTTAGTCAATTTAGATAATTAACTTTCATGACACATAAGTGTTGATATTGAAGAGTGTGAGGAAACAATTTAAATATTCAGATCCTCCTATTGTATTTTTCCATTATTTGATATATCAAAGAAAGAACAGTTTTACTTGCTAGTAAATACAATCATACAGTTGCAGGATGATCACAAAAGGAACAAAAATAAAGTCCTTAAGACTCATTTTAAGTATTGCAAGTTTTGGTGGGTTCTTTATGCTAAAATTTACACAAAGTTATTAAAACCAGAATCAACACTTCATAGTTTACATAACAAAATTTCTATAGAACAATATGAAAACTGTGTTTAAATACTTTCTCAAAAGAATAAAAATTGTTTTTTTTTTTTTTACATATGCATTCTGCCTATCCCCACTTGAATAGAGAGGTTAAAGGTCAGTTTGATTGATGAAACTGGAGTTGTCCAATGACCTTCAGCCACAAATGTGCCCCACATTCAGGGCAAGTTTTGTCCACAGAAGTTTATTTGGACTGTACACTCATCTGAAAGTGAAATTGAAATTCACAATGTTTCAGTTGGTATTTTCCCATATGTAACAGGTGAAGCAGGGGGATTTATCAAACCATCTCCATGAACCTGAGTCAGCACCCTCTTATATTCTCTCTATTAGGAGTTGCAGTACTCCATTCATCTGCAGGTAGTTAATTGGTTGAAAATTTACACTATAAATTCTTTTAAAAAAATGTTTTAGTAAAGGTATATCACCTCTGAGACCTTAAATGGTTGTATAGAAAAACTATAATAAACTTAATTCAGAAGTTATTACAGTAAATAACATCAGTTGTAATTTACAAAGAAAGTTGGTTTGTATTCAACTAAGATATATAGGCACAATATTTATATGATCTAGCATGCTCTCTCATTAGTTAAAATATGGAATTAATAAACCAACTGTTTATAATTGTATTTTTTTTTTTTTTACTTATTCTACTATTTTTTTTCATAACAGCACTTTTGTTCAGCTCTTGAGAAGTTTTTATATTGTAAATATAACCAGGGTGGCAAACAACCTGCAGGGATGTAGGAGTTTTGATGTAATTAGTTGTATTTAAAAAAAAACAAAAAACTAAGTATCAATGATTGAGATTCAATCCATCACCTGTTGAAGATCTGGAGAAACATTGAAACATCCTGAACTTTTTAACTCTTGTCTGAATGTAATGTCTGAACAAACTGCATCTGGAAACTGCCATCATCTGATAATTTTCTGTCACATTTTCAGAAATAGTTTAGACTTCTGTTTCCAGGATCTGTGCGTAACGTTGCAGTACGAGGCCCAAAACCCACAAAGTCTATAAATTCATCAGAAGTCGCTCTGCGCAGTGGTGATGGGGTGGAGTTTCCAATATGGTTGTTTCGCACTGGGGTCACATGTTGGCTGTGGGTCGGTTCAGTCAAGTCCAGCTTGGCCTGTGTTTTTCTCTTGCTGACCACAATTAGCCTCACAATGATTGCTAGCAGCAAACATATGGTACCAACACACACACCAAGGATGAAGTACAGGGTTGCTTTTTCTCGGTTTTCTGTAAATATAAAAATTTATATCTAATTAACCATTGTTAAATATTCAAAATTTTATGAATGTTGGGCATTGGTTTGAAAACTAATAGGTATCAATCAATAGGCACATGGAATTGAATAGAAAAGCTTTTTCATTCTTAAAGAAAGATTACATTTAATGTATTAAGTTAACATCATTTTAGACATTATAGAATCAGTACATTAAAAGTAGGGTTGTACAAGAGTTAAATATTTTGCACTATTATTATAAACATTCAAAAACCTGCATACATGCAAAACCTATATATATATATATATATATATATATATATATATATATATATATATGCAGTAAATTCTGAATTTAATTTCTTCTTTTTAATTTTATTTCGCAAGATATTTAGTTCTCCAAGTTATATTTAATATTACTGGAGTAAATATTTTTCTTATTCTAGATTCTTTAATTTGTAAAAAAAATAAAAAACGATTGTTTTAACATATACTTTAAAGTTTTTCTCAATTTAATTTTGATTACAATATATAGAAAGTGCTGAAAAGTTATCAGCACAAATTACTTCCCCAAAAGCTAATGAAATGACCAAATATCAGAATTTATTTTGCAATCTGTTAAGCTGAGAATTTTAAGCATATTCTCACATTTAATTTTTTTTTAAAGAAAATAACTTTACTGGATTGTAAATATATATCAAGAATGAATTTATCTGCAACTAAGAAACATTTTAAAAGATTTTATACAAATAATCTTATTTGATAATTGGATGATGAATCCTATGGATTCTGGTAGGTTAATAGCATCAAGTTATGATACCAACAATAGTTAGTCAATCTGATACTTAGAATTGTTGGTAGCCAATAACAATAATTAGTAGTTTGCTGTTTTCAAATGTAGATTTATGCTGTCAAACTATGACTGAAAAAAAAAACCTTCTTAAAAAAACTGTCAATACAAATGTCACTTTTCCTTATGTTTTATTCATTTTTTTTTTTTTTTGCAAGAACAGTTTTTGTTATTGAGGTATTAAAAATATTTTTTCCAATTGCTAAATTTAAAGTAAAAATTTAACAGTTAAAATGGAAATAACTTAAAATATAAACAAATTTAAATTTGCATAGCTATTAGGTAAATTAATGACTATAGAAAAAATATTTGCATTTATTCTTTAGGATTTCAGACTAAAGTAATGTTTTTGTTGATAGAATTATGTGTAGGGAGGGGGGAATTTGAAAACTTTAAACATTGGTTATGATGATGCACCGGTTGAAAATGCTGAAATTTTAAACTTTTAAATTTGAAATTTATTTTAGATGTGTCTGCGTCTGTTGTCTAACCAGTTTCATTCCATTTCCTTATGCTTTCATTTTTGTCACTTTTATTATTAACTATTTCACATTGTGATAATAAAGATCTGCCAAGAAAGGTGAAATGTAAGAACCAGGGCACAAATTTACTTTAGATGATTAATGCACTTTCTATGCACTTTTGCCTTAGTAAATTGATTTCTCTTTTTTGATTAATTTAACATGAAATTATGGTCAGACTCATTACAGTGAACATTGTGTGTATTGTCTTGTAAAAGTTCGCTTTTGTGTTCATAATTTCTCAAGGTTTCTCCTATGTATTCTATGTAGCAATTATTACAGGTGATAAAACTTGAAGGTGGAATTTATTCTATCTTACTATTTTATTTTGTATTCAGTCTCTTATTGTTTTAGAAGTAATAGTAAGAAATTTTATGTTATCTACTATCTATATTTCTCATGTTGTCTGTCTGTGTGTCTGTCGTGGGCGTTGTTACCTCACCCAGGCCGCATTTCTCACCTGGTTTCTATGCGGTTTTCACCACAAGTTTGCAAATGGCTGCCTTAAGGACATGACGCAGCCCGATTTTTCAGTTCGGACTCAGATTCCGAAAAAAATCGATAATCGAAAAAATCTGCTTACAGAAGGAATTATTGCATTTCAACCAAATTTGACACCCTCTTAGAGTTTACCTTTAGAAGTGTTGTCCAGAAGTTTCATGACCACGGACCCCTAAACAGCGCGGAAAATCGATAAAACCCAAAAGCTGATACGCCCAGATTGTACCAGAACCACATGTCGATTTTTAGCGGAAACCGATCGGATTTATGAGGAGCCCATTGGGAGTCACCATGTGAAGTTTCAACTCTGTCCATTTGCACTCTGTTTGGGGGGCGCTCAATCGGTCAACCCTTAAAAATGTTTTCTCGGTTGGGTATTTCCTAAATCAAGCATGGGCAACGCCAGGCCATGCTTCCAGTAGCTTATATATATATTCTTTTCAATTATAGTTGTAATAGAATTGGTAATTTTAATTTGCTGCATTTGCCTTAATGGTTCAGTCTATTATTTTGATATATTTTATGAGATTTCTGTTTCACGTTGGATATGAAATAATTAGAATATTGGATGAGTTTAAAAGTATTTTCAATGTATTTTTCCACATCATGTAAATATTGAAGACTACAAATTCTGTGTGCTATTAAATAGAATCTGATAATTATTCCAAATTTATTTTGTTGTTGTTGTGAGAATAGAAATTTATGAAGTAATTTTTATTAGTTGATTTGTGATGGACATTTAGTTTTAGGTTATTATCAGTATGGTGTAACATAATATCTAGGAAAGGTAATGTGTTGTTTGTTTCATAAGTAAATTCTAAATTTGGTTTAATTTTTCAGCTATGAAATAATAAGCAAATCATTCACTTGTGGCAAACTTAACAGATTGCTGAAATTGTAGCTACATATTTTGTAGATATAAATTTTAATTGCAATTCCTGTCTCAGATGAACTACAATAATTTTGGGTTGATAGATTGTTCTATTTGTTATTAGTGGATAATAAAAGTTGTTAAATCAACTGAAATCAGAACAAGCCTGCAAAACTTGTCTTAACAGATTATTGCTTCTTGGTAGATAAAAAGAGGTTTATGGGCAAATTTAAGATTTTTAAATAAAAGAAATTGGCTAATTTCTAATGTTTCACTATTCTGAAAATTTATAGTAACAATGAATTTATGAAGTGGTATCAAGTTCATTCCAATTGCTGAATTGATGTGGCTTGTTATTACCTCTTCAGCCTAAAGAAGAATATCTTTGTATTTATTGTTTTTTTTTGTGGAATGTAAAATTAAGTGAATGTAAACTGGTATTGTATTTTTTTAGTACAAGGCTGACAAAATTGATGAGAGAGAGATATGCAGTAGTTCTTTTTTTTTTTTAAGTATTTCACCCTAAACAAGGTGATAATACTACTAGGATGCAGGAAGGTTACAAGAAGTGAAAGAATGTGAAGACACTTTAGTGAGGAAAAGGAAAATAAAGAAACAGGAGAGAAGTGCAAGAAAAGAAACTATTAAAAAAGAATAGACAAATCTAGAAGTTCTGTTGAATAGTCCCTTCGTACTGGGAGTCTTTTAAGGAAACATGGTCAATTCCATAATAATGTTTCCTTCGTCTTTCTCACCTTCTTCTGGACTGGTGTCAAAATATTTTTGGGGTCCAGAGATAAAAGAGGTCAACAAAAGGGATTTTAATCTTAGGTATTTTTATTCAACACGTTAATGTGTACATTTCTAACTCGACAGTGGGGCCGCTATCTCACCCCAACTTAGGAGCACGTTCTTGACCTGAAGAAACACATCTACATTCTTCAACATGTATATTTCAACTCCTGAAAATCCCTTTCTGTATCTTTCATTCCCAGACTAGCTTTAGCCAATCAAAATCGACTTCCTTTGTTTGCCTGTATCTGACCTCAAAGGTCAAAATGAGGAAGTCAGAGCAGAAATATAATTCTCTAAAAAAAAATAATAATCTGCTAAACTATTATTTAACAGTTCAACAGTAAAACAGTGATACCTACTTGCCAATCTAGTAGTACACTTAAATTAAGGAAATTGATTCATTAAGGAGGAAAGCTCGTCAGAACAATTGGCATGAAAATATTTCTAGAAAAGACAGGGAAGTGACGTTGTGTTGTTGAGAAAGTGACTGATGTCAAGATGCCAGGTCAGGATTGATTACATTACAGATCCTTCTTTGAATTTTGTCAAGAATCTAGAAATATATAGTAGGAGCACCAGACCAGATATGACAACAGTATTCAATGCAAGGATGAATAGTAGATTTATAAATGTACAAGATTAATTCTGTCAAGAAAAATTGTCTGGCAGTTGATTGAATATAATGACTTCACTTCATGTCAGTGGAAAACGTGAGTCCAAGAATGCATAGTGTTGCTCTTCTGCAGTTTAACATCAGTCATGTTGATTGGTAGGTGGAAAAGGGTTGTATATAGTGATTAAATGAAAGCAATTTTGTTTTGGAGAGGTTAAAATTTATAAGCCATTCTTTGTCCCAGTTAACCACTGATTGGAGGTCCTTTTCAAGAGCAGTTGCCAGTTTTACTTTGTCGGATCTGTTAGACTTGCTATTAAGACTGGAGTAAATAGTTGTCATCTTCATAGATACCTTGTTGGGAACAGATGACATCAGGAAGGTCATTAATGAAGATCAAAAACAGTGTAGGTCTAAGTATAGAGCCCTGGGGGACTTCTGCATTAATAGGAAATGAAGAAGTATGTCCATTAAACAGGACTTTCATTACATGATTTGTTAGAAATGATTGGTTTAGACCAAATATTCATCCAGAAACACCATGGCCCTTGAGCTTTTTTAAAAGGCCAACATGCCAAACTCTATCTAAAACCTTTATTGGCAGTAAACCTGATGTAACGGAAGCCATATCAGTATTAAAAAAATCTTTTGTTGTCAAATTATATTGTCAATAAACTGTAGTGTAATTTCTACTTAGTTTCCTTTTTCCATGATAAGGATTAAGAATATTTGAATCCTTTTTAAGTGACTTCATATTATGAAGAAAATTATCTTTTTGCGTTACAGGTCTGTGAGTGTTTTCATTTAATCTTTGTTAGATGCAAAGTAATCAACAAATTAGACCTTTTGATAAACACAAGTTG